TGGGAACTCGAGGACCGGATTGATTAAAACACCTGAAGGGCCGGATGTGGCCCCCGGGCCATAGTTTGCCCACCCCTGCCCCATAACATGAGAGAATAATGCTTTTACGACAAGGAATACAGGAAACGATGATAGTTATTGTTCTCTTCACCTGATTTCCCCCTTGCTATTTCAGAATGTTATAGTGTTGCCATGTAAACTGTTAACCAGCTACCACTTTCCAACCAAGAGGAAGCTGTCTTTCATGGGCAGCTGAAACAATTATTTCTCTTTTCCTTAGTGAGCTCACAGAGTCTATGAAGCAAAATTTGCATTTGTAAAGTGCTCTGATATCCTCTAAGGAGAAGTGCAAAAGTGTACTATCACCTTATGGCTCCCACCAGCACGCAGAGATCATGGAGTATGGAGAAGTGGAGGCACAGGAAAGAGTAGTCTGCCTGTTCTGCCACTAGGAAACCGTTGCATGGTCCCATGATGGGAGTTACTTTTGGCTGGTAGCCACTTCAGAGAATCCCTCCCATGGGAGACTTAGTAAATTGGAAGCACAGCACCACTCACTATAGTGGCTGCTTGAAAAGACCCAAAATAATACTTTCCCCCCTTCCTTTTTCACCTTTATTGAAGAATTGTCAGAGGGACTATTTTAGGCAGTATCACTGCACCCTATGAACATATCCTTGATCTGAAGTCAGTTTTACCTTCTCCTCAAAACAGGCTGGTGTGTTGTCCCAACAGAAAGCCAGTAGTATTACTAGCTTCAGATGTCGAATGTCTAGATTAGAATCATTTGAGGAAGGAGGAAGAAAAGTAGGGTGGGGATAGAAGAGGGCAAAATGTGACAAAATGTTGGTGGGAGGGTAACATTGGGCAGGGGTTCCCAAACTTTTTTCCCTAAGGCCCATCTGTGCTGCTTCAGTAGGCATGGTGGCCCACTATTAACATGCGTCCGTCAGGGAGAGGGGCCCAGTGAGCGTGCGCGGCCATCTTGCCGCAGCAGAGACTAGGGCCAGCAAGAGGGCAAAGGGGCCAGCAGGTGCCACAGCTAGCCCCTCGCCCCCCCCCCACCCCCCCAGCAGCCTGCTGAATGCCTTGAGCTGGTCACCTGGAAGCCCTGCCTGTCACCCACCCAGCACTCTGGCTGCCTCACAGACACCCACTCCGTAGGAATTAGGAAAGGACTCAAGGGCTGCCAATGACGGGCAGAGGCAGGTGCTCAGGCTGGGCCTCGCTGTTACCTTGATGGTCCTGATCACGTCGTTGTAGTCTCCAGGCAGAAACAAAGGGGCACTGCCAAGCCCGGTCCCTGAGGCTGATACTCCAGGGGGCCCAATAGCCACAGATCATGGGGTGCAGCAAGTGGGAATGGCCATAGGGTTACTATATTCAAGTTCCCCCATAGGGGACACGGGCGGGGGGGGGGGAAGGGGGATACAGCTGGGGAGTATTGGAGGGGTGTGTGTGTACTGAGAGGGGTATTTGGGGGTGCTGGAAGGGGTACCTGCAGCCTCATTCTCAAGGTGGGGGACAGTGTTGTGATCCCTGGCACAGTGACAGGTGCAGGCTCGGCACAGTGCAAACCCATCAGTCAGTGTCTCTCTGCAGGCCTCTCTCCCTCCCCAGGATGGGGCTCCAGGGCCATGCCCTGTCACCCCTCCCAGCCAGGCTCTGAGGCCACACGACAGAGCAGGTGGCCTGAATGAGAGGTGCCTGGCAGTTCTGCTTATGGCAGCAAACCCTCCAGCCGCCCTGGGAGCCACCACCTCTCGGGACTGGCCCCTTCTCCTCTGCCCACCGCCTGGCAGCTCTGCTTTGCCTTCTGCCCACCAGGGGCGCTGAGCTCCTCTGACCCTGAGCCATCGCTGGCTGCCACTCCGCCAATGTATACAGTTTGGGGGAGGCAACAGCCCCCCATTCACCCTCACCAACTCAGCCCATGGCAGACCACACAGGACTGTGTCATGGCCCACTGTCTGGGAACTCCTAGCACAAACTGTATACATTAGGGCACAAACCCTAAACTGATTGTGAGTTCTACACTGAGATTTCACCAACCAAGTAACAAACAAACTCCTCAAGCACTATAGCAGCCTAAGCATGGAGTCACAGACAGTCCTTTGGTACTTTGGTCTCTTGCCACCCAGGCAAACTTGCCTTTGTGACAGATGGTCCCTTACACCAAAAATCACAACACTATTCAGGTTACTCCCAGTCCCAAAGGACCAGTCACTTACCTTTGGTGTGAGTTTTAAGGTGCAATTGACCTAGGGTAACGTATAGCCAATCCTATAATAAACTAAAGATTTATTAACTAAGAAAAAAATAAGAGCTATTTACAAGGTTGAAGCAGGTAAACACACACACACAAATGAGTTACAGTGTTTGGTTTCAAAAGTTAACAAAAACTGCTATGATGTGCAAGCTTTTTATGTCCTCTAGAGCTAATCCAAGCCAAGCAGCTTGGGGATCCCTTGCTTGTGCTTAGAAAATTTGCCCTCTCCAAATTCCAAGCAGCATAGTGATACACTTCTTTCTGGTCGGGGATTTTTATTCCATTCCCCCAGAGTTCAAACTTATGGGACAAGTGTTTGTGCCTGTCTCCTCTTCATGGGTGTGGGGAGGCAATCAACAAAGTCTTTGTCCTTTGATGTTTCATAGTGCCTCATTTGGTTTCAATGGGCCTTCTTGTGTACAAGACCAGTACTTTACATTAATAAATGCTTCTTTCCTATTTGGGGAGTTACACAGTTACAGACGTTTACAATGCAAACACTCACCATAATTTTATACCATGGGATATAGATGTTATGAGATCAATACATGGAGCATCCTACAAGCATTTCATCAAGTCTAAACACATTCTTATAAATAGGGCCCCACCAAATTCACCGTCCATTTTAGTAAATTTCACGATCATAGGATTTTAAAAATCTTTCAGTTTCAGATATTTAAATCTAAAATTTCACAGTGTTGTAATCATGTGGGTCCCAAACCAAAAGGGAATCGGGTGCGGGGAGGCACAAGGCTATTGTAGGGGATTGCAGTATTGCCACCCTTACTTCTGCGTTGCTGCCAATGGCACCACTGCCGTCAGAGCTGGGCTCCCAGCCAGCAGCCGTGGAGCTTCCTGCAGCCAGGGGAGGTTCCTGGAGGTGGGTCTGACCCAGTCCCAGGAGCAGCCCATGCAGGGGAAGAGGAAGTCCCATCATTCCCCAGCCGGGCCGGGACTAGCAGCTGGAGCCTGGCACATGGTAGGAGCCCCCAGCCCTGCCCCTCCCTGGCTCTGGGCCCAGAGCTCAGGGGCTAAAGCGGCCTTGGGCTGTGTGCAAATGAGTGTGTGGGGGTGACCATGGTGCTTCCCTGACCATGGTGCCCTGGGCGGTCACCCACCCATAAGGCCAGCTCTGCCCCCCCCAAAGTCATGACCCCCCCCATACCAGGCCAACTTCTCTTCCGCACTGCTGCTGCTGGTGGTGCTGTCTTCAGAGCTGGGCGCCCAACCAGCAGCCACCGCTCTCTGGCCACCCAGCTCTGAAGGCAGCGCAGAAGTAAGGGTGAGAATACTGCGACCCGCCTCCACTAGCCAGATTTCATGGGGAAGACCAGATTTCACAGTCCATGATGCATTTTTCATGGTCGTAAATTTTGTATGGCCCTACTTATAAACTTCAAATCTATTTTAACAATGCTAATACGGAGATGAGCCAGACTGGTTTCCAGCTATGCACCTGGCAGTGTTCAGTGAGGCCTAGAGGCCTTGGCATGAGCTGGCACCTAGTCTGCCAGAGTCACAGCACACACACGGAAAAGGAATCCTATCTGGAAGAGTACCTCATCAGACCAGAAGCACTGCCTCCTAGGAAAGGGGGACATTTTGGTCAGATCTAGGAGTCGTGTCCAGGAGTGGGGCCCCACTGTTTTAGGCACCGTAAAAACAGACTAGAGAACAGTTCTTTCCTTGCAGAGCTTACAATCTGAGCTTACAAAAAAGATGAGACACAAAACTGATAACCCATCGTCAGAAGCCCAGAACTACTAACTTACAATCCCTCCCAATTTCCCCCTCAAACAAACCACCCTTCTCACTCCCTTTCCCTGAGTCTAGCTACCAAAGCCAAGATCCTTTGCTACCATTGCTCAGAGTTCTCTTCCCATCTTCCCTGCCCCCACAGCAGAACAGTGAGCCTCACTGTGGGAAGAAATAGGAAGGTTTTTTTCTCCCCATTTTGTTTTTCAGAAACCTGTGAGGGGTGTGCTCAAGACCACTTCCCCTCCCAATGGAGGGGCCAGGGTCCATGCTCACCCCTAGGGGCAGGGGCCCACATGGCCTGGTCTCTGGCAGCAGCTCAGAGCCATTTCCCCTCTCCAGGGAGGGGAAAACACTGAATTTCGCAATTCTGAAGTGGGGGGGGGGGAAATGTGGGCATAACTCTTATTTTTTACCTCTATATTCCCTCTTTGGTATGACATAGTCCTAATTGAATACATTTCTGAAATGAACCCTTATTTAAAGCACTGGCAGATATACTTAGTACAATTCAAATGGTGGTAATATTCATGACTTGTATTTTCAGTATAATTTTTTTTGTTATTTTAAATTTAATGAAAAATGAATATTGTTTAAAGTTAATTATATATTGTGGCCCATGAAATCTGGCAATGTCCCTTTAAGGAAGCCTTTCAAAAAGATTGAGTCCTCTTATGCAAGAGTATTTTTAAGCTATCATGTTTAGGTTTATTCTAAAGTTAGAATCAAGCAATTTTAAATGTTCACTTCCCCCAAGTTTACAGATGATACATGATGCATCCTCAGTTAACAGGTTTCAGATTTATTCTCAACTCACTTGAAACAAAAACTAAGCCATATGCTCATTCAAACAGTTATGTCTGAGGATATTTAAATCCCAAATGCTTCACAAAACAAGTAACCAGAATACAGAGAATAAAGACATACAGAGTATATTGATGTGTAATTACATTTATGAATTTTAGAATTTTACCACTACAAAATTGTCATACAGGCATTGAAAGTTGTTACATCAGTGGTTAGAAAACATTTTTTTAATCCTTGCTCTGTGACTCTAGTATTATATCTAATTGTAAAATTCACAGGCCTGGATAGAGACATGGTAATGTTAGCTGCGGAGGTTGTTTTCAAAGCACTGTCTCTATGTTTTTCACACTACTTCCTCTGAAGAAGGAAGTCTAAATACAGACAGAAGTATTGCATCTAGAGTTTATTACTACTAATGTTTGTCATCCCTTCTGATCAGTTTGTAGAACACATGCGAACAGGTGAACCATATTACATATTCCATATTACAGATAATTCCTCCTAGGTATTAAAGCTAACATTGCCCATTTTAAATTTGTTCTTAACACTAAAGAAAATATCTATAGAAGTCAGCAGTTCTCTCAGTAGATAGATATTGACCTCTTACAAGCTACAGAAAGTGTACATGTGGGCTAGGAGTGCTCAAGTCTTCCTTTCTTCAGATCTGATCTATCCTGAAAAATTAACATCAACACAAATGAAGTTTTTAAACTGAGTTTAGCATTAAAGTTACCATTAATTTTGCATGTAAATACACATTTGCTTACATTAAATTCCGAAAAAGTAAACTGACTAAAAGAGTCATACTGAACAATGAAATATATTAACTTGCAACACCCACTGAGAGCAAGTCCCTAAGTTTAATTAGGGATGGGGAGAAAAAGGGAGAAGTACATAGTTCTAAACTAATCAACAAATTAATGTTGTACTTTATTTTCTCTTAAGGAGCCCCAAATAAAGTCCTATAAAACCACTCCAAGATTATTTCTCACAAAAGCTAAGAGATCTGTATTGAACAAGATCTTCTTTTTAAAGACTAATAAACATCCCCACAGTTCAAGGTTTAATTACATTCTTGGCTTATAACAGCACGTATTCATCACCTTCTCTGTTTGCTTGGTCACTTTTCGTACTTATCCTTTGTGTGCCGGCTCCTGTTCCGGTACCTAGGAGGAGAATAGCTGACTCTTCTTCTGGCCTGAAAGCTGGGTGTGTAAGGATAAGTTCTATGTTTCTTTGGTTTTTCTTCTTTCCTGCTCTCACTTGGCTCAGGCGGTTTACTGTCCTCCTCCTGTTCGTGTTCTTCGTCTTGCTCTTTTTGGGAGGGTAACGTGTTCTTAATAGTATTAATAAGAAATCTTTTATTTGTACCTGCAAGAGGGCACTTCATCCTGTAAAGACATTTCAAAGTAATCATAAAACAACATCTTAACACAAATATAAAAGTTCCACATGAGAATTCCCCACAATTTTTAGAAAGATTCAAGTTTGTGGTTTTGGCTTTCCTTGCATGCCACCTAGTGTAAACTCTGAGTACAGGAAAAGACATGCAGGATGTTCCCATTCCCCTTTTCTCATAGTCTTAAGGCTGGAAACAGAATGGTTGTGTTACTTTAATAAGGAGGAAATACAGATTAGAGAAAAAAGATGTGGAGACTGAAGCTTATGTTACATTCTATATATGTGGACTTGCATAGTTCATATTAGAAATTATTTGTCAATGCTTAAATTATCTGATTTTTTAATAATAATATATCCCAAGTCTGAGGGGAAAGGGCTGCAAGATCATGTTTTACACATTCAGTGTAGTTTATTTAATGAATTGAGAAATTTAGAAAGTAAAAGGCATTTTTGCATTAGGAACCATCAAGCAGTTATAGCAATAAAATAGATAGGCTATTGAAGTGTTTAACTTAGATTTGGGAAATGTCTTTCAAAAGAAATGTTTATTTTTCAAAAAACCCAAGATATCAATCCCTTTTTTTCCCTTTTATGTTTATAATCTTACCAATTTTTCTTTTTATCAGCTAGTTTTATTAACTAAATATTTTGCACTTATTTCATTCCTCTCGCTAGGATTAACTCTTTACAATCTTTTATTCCCTATATGTATCATCTACTAACACATGCATTGAATAAAACTGAGATTGTTCAGTATCTGATTTAGATTTTTTTTTCTGCTGTAAAAATTTCTGAGATTTGTTTTACCCTTGTGAGTTGCACTGACATTTTTCTCTTTCTTTGTTTAGAGTTCATGTGCAGGTTGAAAACCTTCAAAAAATTTCTCTACAAGTTGATTCAGTAGATGGCACTCTGTCCTCTAATTGTCAATGAATGACCCAGAATCATGTTAGGGACCACAGTGCTGTTGGAGGCAGAATGTTTTGTATGAAATATAAGAAATACATGCTGATCATTTGCGGTCATTCAGAGCCTATGCCTATTTCTGGGAAATTAGGGCTACTAAACCCCACTGTACAGGGGAGATTATTACTGTGCAGCTCCAGTCTGTACATCTAGCATCCTCCCTTAATTTCAACTGGATACAGTATTCATTCTTGTCCCACAGGAATTTGCATAGCACTGCTAAACAGTTATCAAGCTTCACTCCAATGGTGGTTTCATTTCTGTATTTAAAGAAATGATTTATATAGAATACATGATGATATGTGGTGATATAAATGTTTGATTGGCAAGAGTTATGGATAATTACTCTTGAAGTAAAGCCTCAAGGGAATTATGCAGGTCATTCCAGAAGAGTTCCAATAAAAGAGTTATGCCACAACATCTATTTTCTGTGATTTACAGAATAGATCATTTTAGCTGCATGTAAATCTGGGATCTTTCAGCCGCACAAGTCCAGATGAATGAGAAAATGGAGTACAAATAACTTCTAAGAAGTTATTTAAAATAGCTGTTCTATAAATCAGGGTAGAAAGATTTAGACATTAAGGATCCGATTTTGAAAGGCATTTAGGAATTGTGGTGCTTGATGTTGCAACGCCTAACTGATTTAGTAACCTGAATCTAATTTTTGAAAGGGATTTAGGCACCTAGGAACCTGAATTCCTATGGGATTTAGGTTCTTAAATGCCTAAATCACTTTTGGAAATGAGATTTAGGCTCCTAAATCATTTAGGCATTGCAAGGCCAAGCACTGCAATGCCTAAATACCTTAAAAAACCTGGGATTCATTGTTTAAGTGACTGGAAAGGTAGGTTTACTAGTTTTCCAATATGATAGGGCTTCCATTTCAAACTCCTAACACTCAGGGAATGTTTTGACAGATATGCTGGGACACAAGATAAATTCAGAAGTACTGAATAACACAGAACAGTAAGCATTTGCTTTATTGTGTGAACCATACTTCTGTCCTGACTGAATGGCTTCTCAATGCAGGTGGGAATGAGGACCAAGATCAGACATGTTCAAAGAGATTTGGATTGAGTTAACCAACCTTCCTGAGAGAATGGGGAATAAGCCAAAGGACAGAAAGAGAAGTAAACAAAGAACAAGTTTGGGCAGATAATATACGTTTTCAAGAGTGGGAGTGGGGTGGTTGTCTGTTTTCCTTTACAAAGAGCCTGTCTTTGGTATAAAACAGCCAGACAGCTTCTGGAAAGACAAGACTTTATGGAAGCATTCGCACAGACTGGAAGGACAAGTTACGATAGCTGACAAGGCTAGGCCTGAATGATCAAGCTCAGAATTTTTTCCAACATGTTGGAAAACTTACCACCAGCTTTAAACCTTTGTGCCTTACGCTTCTTAAACTATTAGGGCAGCTTTTTGCAGCCTGTGCCCAGATGAAAACTTTAAATGCTTTGCATGTGTCTGTTTGCGTTAGCTTTTTATTATTATTTTTAAGCAAATGTACAGTTTTAGCACTGATGTGCATGGCACAATACGAGGCAAGACAGTCCCTGCCTTTATAAAACAATCTCCTTAAATAAATAGCATCTTGTTTAACTGTTTGTTTTTGATGGTACAGTGGCTGCCTGCACAACATTGAGAATGAAGGGAACAGTCCTCTGTGGAGGAAAACTGATGGTGAAACAGGAGTCATGGGCTGGGGTCTGTGCTGGCATGAAGTGAGCCCTCAGAGCTTAGCAGCAGAGGGGAAAAAATAACTCATTACAGTGAGATAACAATCTTTAGGTTTTAGTGATCTAGGAGTAAATGGAGCAAATCATCATCTTCAAGACAGTATTCCCTGCTCTTTCTTAATCCAGTCCAGGCTCCTGCCATGCTAAGATACTGAAGAGAGGGAGAATAAAAGCATTTGATGTACATACTTTTTACTTTTTAAAATGGTGGTAGTTTGAATATGAACAGTTTGGACTGCTCAAGTAGGACAGAAAAGATGGACTAGTGGGCAGTATGCATGGGAAATGGTCAGATGTGCAAATTTAAGGTAGTTTATTCCCTAGTTACACAAATAAAGGGATTTTTTCCATTTCATCAGCAGATGTTGGTACATTTATTATACTCTCACGTGGTGGCGATATCCATATTACATTCTAACTTTGACCACATCACCTGCAATCTCCCTCATGTATTGCGATATTCTAAACCTCTGCTTCAAACAGTCTCAAATTTTTCATGTCTCCTTATCTCCCTCAAAAATGCAACTCTCCATCTCCCCAAAATTACATTGGAGGCGGACAGTAATATTCAGTCCTGGACCAGTACCTTTCCTGGTCTGGATACCTTATGACAATGCTGCAAAACTAGAGATGGAAGTATTATTCCATCTCTAGAAAGGAAATGGAAAGAAATGATTCTTCTAGCACCAGAAAGTTTCAAGACCACTGGATACTATAGTCAAGACATTTTTATGTCTACAAATAGCTATTTTAGCTTAATTTTAAGAAGGCATTGTAAATGTCAGTGTTATTTTTCCTCCCCTTCTATACTGGGTGTGTAACTAAACTGGACTCCTAACTAAGGATTATGGCTTTCTGGATGAAAGGAAATAATAAATAATTCCAGGATCACTTCAAAAGTATTTTTATAAAGATGTGTATCATGTACACAGTTGTATTGTGAAAAATAAAGTTTGGGAGTGACCTGTATTACTCACTGGTGGACTTCACCAAGTGTGAGCAATGGTGGGAAAATTTTAGAATGTTTCTTTAGGGTAGACAAGCCTCGTGAGGCAAAAGCCATCGCCTCACTAAGGGCTAGTCTACACTGGCAGCGCTAAAGCACTGCCGCGACAGCACTTTAATGTGCCTTGTGTGGTTGCAGCACAGTGCTGGGAGAGAGCTCTCCCAGCGCTCTAAAAAAACCCCACCTCAACAAGGGGCGTAGCTCCCAGCGCTGGGGCACTGTTTACACTGGCGCTTTATAGCACCGCAACTTGCTGTGCTATGGGGTGTTTTTTCACACCCCTGAGCGAGAAAGTTGCAGCGCTGTTAACTGCCAATGTAGACAAGCCCTTAGTAAAATGGACACTTTTAGCCCTTGCCTTATTGAAGGTCTGATCCACAGAAGTCGATGGAAATCGTGTCTTTGACTTCAAATGATGCAGGATGGCAAATATGCATTTTCTACAAGACAGAGCATTTTACTGCTGACTAGCAAACAGTTCCACAGAATGGAATTTGTGCTTATTGTTTTTCATTTAAAAAAACCCTAGGAGCTTAAAAATATTAAAAAACATTAAAGTTTCAAAGTGAAGTATGCATAAAGCACGGGTTCTCTGGTACGTGGGGTAACGTATGTGAACATATAATAAAGTGTGCCTGATTTACAGTCCATTACACCACTTTTACTCCACAATATCAATGTGATTGTATGTTTTTAAAAGTATTGTGTTTTTAAAAACATATTGTGTATGTTCCCAGAGTCTAAAATGAATGCATATTTTATAAATCTAAAAATAAGTTACCTTAAACACAAGATGATAGCTTCATAATAGGAACAAAAATCATGCCTCTGGTCTTGTGGGTTTAAGTCAAAAGCGTAATGGCATTTTAATATTTGTAGTCCAACTGTTACACATCCTAATAAGCAACGAGCCACCTTCCTTTTCAAACTAATATCTGCCAAACAACTGCAGATGAATAGTAGCATTGCATTCCAGAGCATGGTGGTACTTCCTGTTTGTAAAACTGATTAAGACACTGGGCCAGGACAGTCTAATCACTTTGACTTAGCAACAGGCACCCTGTGTATTGCATTTCTATGTGGAGCATAGGAACACTCATTCACTGCAACTGTAGGCTTGAACTTAGAGAGGAGAAATAGGATAGGGACAAGCAGCAATCAAAACAAACAACAACAACAGGAATGATCTCAAAGCATTCCTGTTTTAGCCCCAAGTTTGGTATCCTACAATGTTTCTGACTAAGGATTTCTATTTAGTATTAAATAGAAAATAGCGTATAGACACAGAACAGGAATTATTTAAGGTTGCGCTAAGAGTATAGTTAGAAGTACAGACATGAAATGATCTTTTTCTTCTTTCTGCCCCTTCCCCAACTGTTCTCTTGTAACACATCCAGCTGTACAGATTTGCTCAAAACTAAGGGTTTGTCTACACAGAGTTTTCATACCTCTTTGACTATGATCTGTCTACACTACAGGCGTTCTAGCAACAGAGCTATGACACTGTAGCTCTAGTGTAGGGACAGACTATAGTGACGGAAGGTTTTTCTGTCACTGTAGGAACTCCACCTCCCCGAGTGAAGGTAGCTAGGTGAAGAGAAGCATTCTTCCATTGATCTAGCCGAGTCTACAGTGCATCTACAGTGCTCAAGGGTGTGGATTTTTCATACCCCTGAGCGCCGTAGCTATGTTGATGTAAGTTTTAAGTTTAAACCAGGCCTACAATGGTTTAGAAACAGATGTAGTTAAATTGGTACAACCCCATACTGTGGATACAGTTAGAATCATCTTTATACCAAAATAACTGCATCCCCACTAGAGGGTTGTAGTGCATTACTATTTTGGTATAAAAATCACACTTCTAACCGAAATAGTTAAATTGATATAAATCCCTGTGAGTACACCAGGTCTAAGACTAGGGGTACGTCTACACTTAAAATGCTATAGCAGCAAAGCTGCAGCTGCGTCGTTGTATCGCTTCAGTGTAGACACTACCTATGCTGATAGGAGGGGTTCTCCCACCAGTGAACGAAATTCACTGCCTCAAGAGGCAGTAGCTAGGTCAACAGATGAGTCAAGAATTCTTCTGTTGGCCTAGCAGTGTCTACACCAGGGGTTAGGTCGGCATAGCTACATCTCTCAGGGTTGAGGTTTTTCACACCCAACTGACATTGCTATGCAGATGTAACTTTTAAGTCTAGACCAGGGGTTGGCAACCTTTCAGAAGTGGTGTGCCGAGTCTTCATTTATTCATTCTAATTTAAGGTTTCGCGTGCCAGTAATACATTTTAACATTTTTAGAAGGTCTCTTTCTAGAAGTCTATAATATATAACTAAACTATTGTTGTATGTAAAGTAAATAAGGTTTTTAAAATGTTTAAGAAGCTTCATTTAAAATTAAATTAAAATACAGAGTCCCCTGGACCGGTGGCCAGGACCCGGGCAGTGTGAGTGCCACTGAAAATCAGCTCACATGCCACCTTTGGCATGCGTGCCACAGGTTGCCTACCCCTGGTCTAGACAAACCTATGTGAAAAGACTGATCCCTTTAAGCAAGTTACCACTGTACTTTAACCCATTTGCAGCTACTTTAAAAACAAATCACATGAGAAGCCTACTGGCGGTGTGGTCATACCATTACTTAAGGTGTATAGCTTCCATTTGCGAGAGTCAGGGCTGTCTTGTCTAAAAACGGATTTAAACCGGTTAGAAACTGGTCTCACTAAACTGGTGCAATCTGCATGTGGGAACAGTCTTAAATTTGTTTAAGAGTTCCTGATATCAAAGACATCAAAACCAATTTGAGACAGATGAACCATGCCTCTGATCAAATCACTGAATTTATTGTATTACAATACTATGTGCAGGTACACTTTGAAGGAATAACTATGAAAATTAAAATACTGCTTTTTATTCCAAAATAATGCTATTAATAGTTGTCATAATGCATACTAAAAGTATCAACAATTTTAGCTTTCTTTCCATTAAAATTAATTGGAGGACAATTAAAATCCCCTGGATGTTATTTAAGATTACATTAAAAATCTTGAGCAAAAAAAAACCACCTTCCAAAAGTGTATTTTACTTTGAGTTTATAGACTGTTGTAGTTTAAACAGAAATTTACTGAAAAAGGACAATTTATATTAAAAATATTTGCCGTAAAGTTTGCTATGACATTTGTATTTTTAATCTTAAAAAAAACAAAAAACAAAAAACAATCCAAACCGAGTACAAATATGAACATTTACTGGCCAACATGCAACTACATCTATGTTGAAACTAACTATCAAATATGTCCCAGGCTCATAAATATCTTGATTGAAATTTGATACGGTGACCATTGTGATAAGAACTTGCCACTACAAAAAGTGCCACTTGTACTCCAACTGGTATATGCTGTAAATACTTGGTATGGCAATCTTCACTCAGGCAGAAATTTCTTCAATTTCTACCCTAGTCAGCGGAGTTAAGTTTTTGCATCTCCTGTTATCATGTTTGGAGAAATCTATTTGTAAAGTCAATAAAATAAATGTTTTAATGTTATGCTATTAAAAACTAAAAGTTGGAGATGAAAGCTCTGCCATATGTTAAGTGTAAAGTTTATATGGTTTAATTTTTTGATACTGCTTAGTGTCATTTATTTTTCATTCCATCTATATTTAAAGGTACGGTAAATTTTTTCATTCAATTTGTATCGGAACTTACCAACCCATAGCTCCCATTGTTTCAGCTCTGGTTTTCCCACGCTTTGCCTCTTTAAGAAGCTCTTCTACTGCCTTTCTAGATATGAAAAGGGAAAAAAAAAATATTAAAAACAGATTTATAGACCATTTAAGAAAGAAACTGAACTCTTGGAAGTACTGAAAAGTTGGCTCATATGTTGAAGTGACAATGCCACCAATCTGTGTAAGGTAGCGATTCAAATGGAAGAGGTCGCAACTAGTCATCATTTTCCTTTCATTGTCATAGTCCAAATCTTTACCCAACAAGATAAAAAACAGAAAGGCAACAGTAGCAACAAAATGCATCACTTTACATCTACTCACATTAAAAGCCACCAGTCATTAAAGAAACTGAAGACACATCACTTACATTATTTATTTCAAATTTTAGAGTAAACAACAAGTTTTACTACTCTACAAATACAGTCTGCTCTAGGACATAACACTGGAAAACAATAGTGCTTATCACCAACCTATGAAGTACCCCGTTTAGCGACTTCTCTCAGTGGTCTCATCTATTCTAAGGACTGGTCTATACCTAAAACTTAGGTCAATCTTGCTACATCACTCAGGGCTGTGAAATTTCACAAACCAAACCCCCTACTGTAGGCACAGCTAGGTCGATGGAAGAATTCTTCCTTCAACCTAGTTACCACCTTTCAAAAAGGTGGATTACCTACATCGATGAAGAAAACACTTGGTTTGCTTTCCTGTCCTGCACATGAAGTGCAAGTTGTTGGCTGTGCTGGAGGAAACGACTCTTGGATTGGAGGTGCAAGTTGAGATGTTACTGAGAATCAGAGAAGCTGAGGAGATCATATACAGCAAGGGTTGGGAAACACCATTACCCCAGGTTCTGGGAAGAACAGAGCTGGCCACAAAGGAACTGGGGGGAGGGAGGGAGAGAGAGAGAGAGAGAGAGAGAGTGTGTGTGTGTGTGTGTGTGTGTGTGTGTGTCAGAATGAAGGCCTGGCAGTTCGTAACCACCACAGGCAAGAGGTCATGGTGGCATTCTACATGGCTGTAGACAGAGAAGAATAGGCAGGCTATGGCCACCAGAGAGAAGGAACCAGGAGGAATTCCACACAGCTAGAAGTTTCAAATCAATACCAGGTCCTCAACATGGAAACTATGCAAGATACCTCTCATGATCCAGCAGGCCCAATAGAACAGAGAGATGTACAGGGGAGACAAGTAGATGCCAGCTTGGCCCAACCTGTAAGAAAATCAAGCTTGCCCGCAAAGAGCTTTCTAACGATCCAAGGAAGACAAAATATCCTTAATGGAGAGTCAATACTCAGAAGACTCAAAAGAACATTCTGAAAGGGTCAGGAAGACAACAGGACAGTGTGCTGCCTTCCTGGAGCCAAGACACAAGATGTCAAGAATAATAGGTAGGCAAGGATCCATAAGTGATGATTCATATTGGCATTAATTAATCTCACTGGTAATAGAAGACTAGATGGAATTCCGAAGTATGCTGAGGAGGAAGACTGTCCAAGAGATCTTCTCTGAGATCCTTCCTGTCCCATGAAAAAAGGAAGACAGAAACGAACCACTAGTTACACGGTGTCTTTGGGTTTTGTGGAACATTGGTCCACCTTCTGTGAGGAGAAGGGACTGTATAGTTTGATGGCCTCAACGTCAGTAGAAGGGGAACCAATTTCTTCAGGGACAGGATGGGTAGAGTAGTCAGGAAGGTGTTAAACTAATATCAAAAGGGGAGAGTAAAAAGAGGGAAGATATGAGCAATCAGCACAAAATCGAGATATTCAGAACAAAATTAATCAAGGAACCAAAGAACGTAAAAAGAAGAAATTCTTTAATTGCCTCTACAACAATGTTAGGAGCCTGGGTAACAAACAAGGAATTGGAATTGCTCATTTATGAGAATAAATTCAATCTAGGTGGTATTACTGAAATGTGGTGGGATGACTTACAATATTGGAATGTGAAAAAAAAATCAATGGTTATAACCTATTTAGGAAGGATCGAGTGGGCAAAAGATGAGGGGGAGCAGTACTCTGTGTCAAATATGCATTACTTCTTTCTAAGTCACTAATAACTTGGAAAAAAATTATCTTGAATGATTATGGATCAGGGTCCTAACCAATAAAGCAAAAGATGGGGTATTAGTGTCTGCTACAGAGTACGAAATCACACTAGGGAACAGGCTGACTGCCTCCTTATTCACCTATCTATAATGTGTAGGGAAAAAAACCTGTGAGATCATGGGGGACTTCAATTTGAATGACACGTGGCGATCTTATGCTGCTGGTACTAGAACATCCTGGGAATTTCTAAATACTACATATGATAATTTTCTAACTCGGATGTTGCATCCAACACAGGGGAATTCTATATTAGACCTCAACTTGACAGATAAAGAGGGACTGATCACTAAACTAAAAATTAATGGGAGCTTAGGTACAAGTGATCATGACTTGATCACATTTATAATGTGCAAATAAAATAAAGTCCAGAGCAGGAATACATATATCTGGTATTTGAATAGGGCTAGTTTCACAAAGCTGAAACAATTATAAATCAAATCATCTGGAAGGAAGACCATAATAAAAAATGTGACTGGTAATGGGGAATTGTTTAAGAACACCTTACTAGATGCCCCAAAAGTCACAATGCCACAATCGAGAAAGAAGGCCGTACTGGTTAAAAAAACAACCTGGTTTAGAGGGGATGTGAAGGCAACTCTAAAAAATAAAATATATATAACAAATGGATGAAAGGGGAAGTTGATAGTAATGAATATACATCAGAAGTTAGGAACTGTAGAAAATAGATAAGAGAAGCAAATGGACACAAGGAGAAATCTATGGCCAGCAGTGCTAAGGACAGTAAGTTTTAAAAATATATTAGAAACAAAAAGAATCCTGAAAATGGTATTGGTCCAGTACTAGATGGAAATGATAGAATTATCAATAATAATGCAGAAAAGACAGAAGTGCATTCAATAAATATTTCTGTTCTGTATTTGGGGGGGAAAAAACAGATGAAATAGTCTCATCATATGGTGCTAACACACTTCCAATTCCACTAGTCTCTCCAGATGATGCTAAATAGAAGCTTCTAAAGTTAGACATTTAAATTAGCAGATCCACATAATTTGTATCCAATAGTTTTACAAGAACTGGCAGAGGAGCTTGCTGGACCATTAATGTTGATTTTCATTAAGTATTGGAGCACTGGGGAAGTTCCAGAAGACTGGAAGAAAACTAGTGTTGTGCCAATTTTTAAAAAGGGTAAGTGGGATGACTGGGGTAATTATAGGCATATCAGCCTGACATTGATTCTAGGCAAGATAATGGAGCGGCTGGTACAGGACTGAATTAATAAAGAATTAAAGGAGGGTGGGAAAGTGTCCAACTACAGAGAAAGAAAGGCAGGCCTCCCTAGAAATGTTCAGGAGAGGATTGCAGAGTACCTCCATGAAAGTTTCATCAAGATCTCTCAGGAAGACTCAAGGGACATCCCTGCATACGTAAATAAACTGCACCACATCCCTCCCGCCCCCCACCTAGCTATGGAGAGGAACAAAAGGCAGATACCAACTCTACCTCTCTTGGTTGTACTACTACCTCTTCTAGCACAAGTAAAGTAATGACAAAAGTCAAAAGATGTGTTCTGCTACTTTGGGGGTGCCAACCCTGTTATTGAAAATTTATCTACACACTTACATGAGATCCCTTACCCCCACCACGCTTTACTGGCAGGACTGTGGAGGAGTCAAAAACAGATCCTGGCTCACTGCACAGCTGGATCCACAGGTCGCCTGTCCCCCATACACCTCTTTCTCATCCACCATCTCCTCCTCCCTTTCTCACTGTACACAGCAGGGGCTTGTGATTTGGGCTCCAAGGAGGTATCCACGGGGCAGCTGGGGGTGGTGCTGGGGTCTCCACTGAGCACAGCATGCAGCTCTTTGTAAAAATAGCAGGTCTGCAGCTTGGCACCGGATCATTTGTTGGCCCCCCAGCCTTCTGGTATGCCTGCTGCAGCTCCTTATCATTCATGTGGCACTACTGCTGGTCCCTGTCATAGTCTTTTTCCAAGTTAGAATATATGCCAGAGTGTGGCTACATTGTGGCCTTAGAATGCACCAAAAATGTGGTTTCCCAAGATTAAAGATGTTTCTGCTCACTTCCATCCAGCTATCACAGAAACATTTTACCACATTATAATCATTTCCACCAAGCAACTCTGACATGAAATTCCCTAGCCAGGTCTTCAGAATCAGTCACTAGTATTTATTTATTTATTAAGTATTTCGTGCTCTTTGGCTACATGATACACTGAGGGGAAAAAAATCCCGCCACAAAAGGTTTATGATCTATGTCAGAGACACAAATATGCTGGTGGAGCAAAATGTCTATTTTTTAAAAACTGCAGGTATTTAAATATATATACACACATCACTATTTTCGTTGGAGATTTATTATTGAAAGGCTTTGCAGAAGCAGTGTGGTTTGAGGATTTAAGTATAGGATAACTGAGTGGTGCCCCAGAAGAGGGATATTCTTGTGTCAGACCTCCCACCTGTTGACTTCATAAGTAGAGCATTGTTATAAAGTTCTATACAACACCCCAGCTTCCGGGGTACGATCATCAGTTTGACTTTACCAATACTTTGTTCCTCAATAGTTTGGGGCTAGTTTTTTAAGTAAGTGCACAGTTGTGTGTCTAGTTTACACATGCAATTACCATGATTGTTCATGAAAATTGGGTATTTGCATATGGAAATTGCCATTTGTTTCTAATGCTCATATGCATAAGCAAATACTCAATTTGCAAACAGTTACAACAACTCTATGTGCAAGTCAGGACATGCAATTGTGCATGCACTTTTGTAAATCAATCCCACTGTGTTTCCCAATTATCTTTTGTGTTGTGCTAATGTAACCCTTTTCCATACTATTTCTGTAACATTAACAGAGGGCTATCTTGTGATCCATCTTGCTACTCTTGGCAATCTTAGGGTTACCATACGTCCAGATTTTCCCGGACATGTCCGGCTTTTTGGGACTCAAATCCCAGTCCGGG